GAGTGTACTGTACGAATCAAATTATAACTTATAACGTTAAATAAAAAATAATTTTGACTACAATATGTGGGATAAATAGTGATAATTTACCAGGTTATTAAATCTGTTGTCTCAAAAATTATAAAAATAAAAGCGTACCTTACATGTATCAACTTTAGACTTATCTGAATACTTGGTTTTATGATGTAAATAGGTAGGTAGGTATTCTCTAGACTAACAGAAGTGGATGCAGATGACTATGGCAAGAGAAGTCTTCGATATCAGGCAAAGAACGATTGTAATGTCAGGAACTTTTTATTGTCTTAAGGTCATGTGGTAATTACTGAGTACCATGTGATACAGTTACTGAGTACCATGTGGTGATTACTGGTACCATGTGGTAGTTACTGGTACATGTGGTAGTTACTGAGTACCATGTGGTAGTTACTCTATAAATAAATTCTCAGGACAGATACTCAATAAAAGAAACAACTTACGGTCTGAAAATCAGCTTTTACATAAATATATTCTGGAAACCATGGCAATGCCGATCAAACCAGTAATTAAATACTCAAATAAACGAAATAACAAACGGAAACTGAAATAGAATTTAGTTAAGATAGGGCTATATAAAATGGCAGATAAACTTACGGTGATCATTCAAGAAGAAACCAAACAAATACGATCTATACTCTGGATTGCAATCGAAATCGAAATCGAAAGTGGATGCAGAGTGCTTTCGCAAAAGAAGAAATTTGTCGGACGCCGAAACTCGCGTCTTCTTCAGATCCAAATTCCCAGAAAAAAAAGAAAAGAGAGAGAAAAAGTGATAACACATATGATCGAAATCATTAGAACAGAAAATCGCAATCACAGCGAGGTGAGATTCGAACAAGTGAAATGCAATTAAGGAAGTTTGGCATATAGCGAATAGATGGCGCTAATAAACAAGACAAGTAAACTGTAAGAAATGAGTTGACATCTAGCGAATAGATGCGCTAATAAAAATTAAATATCGAAACAAGTGACGAGCTGTAACAGGCTGGAGTTTGGTATCTTTGGCATCCTAGCAAATAGATGGCTCAATACTAAGAAATTTAAATAAAAATAGATTTTTAAATTCAATTTTATTAAAATAAAAAAATGCTGTCATCGAAAACGTTCATAAACAATGGCCAGAGGTATTTTTTTCAAAAAATCAAAAAACACGACAATTTATTTGTGAGGCGACAACTTTGCCCAAAAATGATTGCAAATCGTCGCCCTCTTATCACAACAGAAATTAGCGCACGCTTCCACGGCAAATGTCCAAGAAAGACTGATCCAGAATCCAGACTGATCATTCCGATCGGTCCTGGTCAGGTCGTAGCTCACGTCGTATTGTCGGTAAGCAAAATCCCTGTACAAAAATTTTGACGATCAGCGCCATCACCCGTCATAATTGAGAAACGTTTGCTGCAACCATTTTTAATATTTCACTTACATGGCCCTGGGCATCATTAAATCAAACCAAACATATCCAAATTAATTAAATCGAATTGTTTAAGTGATAACGCGATAACTATTAAAGTGATAAGTCAATAACTCGGATACGGTTGGTTTGCAGTACATTGTGTGTATTTCGATTTTTGCTTAGAATTGAAGGAGTAATTGAAATATGTAATAATATACAGGGATTCTATTTAAATAAATGAAACTTTAATGTGCCACGACTTTATGAACGACCCTGTATACTTAAATTTATTACTTGCTAATAGATATTTAAAAATCCTATAACTTTTGTATTTAACTTTTTGCGGTACCTCCTATATTTTACCTAATAATCGACCGTTTCCATACATAAAAGCGACCCTGTATATAAATAACAGTAACACTTTCAACTGTTTTTTAAAAATAACGGTTTTGTCCACCACTATCTACAAGTATAGGGAAAATCTGAAAAGTATACATTTGTAATTAAATCATAAAAAGTTTTTCTGTCTGTTCTATTATTTCGGAGAAATAAAAATAAATTAGTAAAGATTCCCTGTTGAATTATAATTCTAGTCCATTTTCTCCTATAGTCGTAAACGACTAGAGTTTTAGCCAGACAAGTCCAATGTTCCACAGTCGTTTGACAGTTTCAATTACATGCCATCGATCCGGAAGAGCCGTTCGACTGATAAAATCTGGAAAAATAAGCCACCAGTCTGCAGGGAAATCTCTCCAAATATATACTCTCTGATTCGGCAATAAAATGGCGAAATTAGATTTTTGATTGGATTTGCTCAAAGCATTTCAGCAGTACGTCGCTAATAAATATTTTTTTCTCCAACACATCGTTCAGTACGATAATTATTGACTTTTTTTCGTTTTCAAACAATCGTTTGGATTCGGCAATAAAATGGCCAAATTAGATTTTTGATTGGATTTGCTCAAAGCATTTCAGCAGTATGTCGCTAATAAATATTTTTTTCTCCAACACATCGTTCAGTACGATAATTATTGACTTTTTTTCGTTTTCAAACAATCGTTTGGATTCGGCAATAAAATGGCGAAATTAGATTTTTGATTGGATTTGCTCAAAGCATTTCAGCAGTATGTCACTAATAATTTTTTTTTTCTCCAACACATCGTTCAGTACGATAATTATTGATTTTTTTTGTTTTCAAACATCATTTGGAATTTTTATATGGGAGTTACAAAAGTTTTGTGGTATACAGGGTGGTTTAAAAAACATGTGCCATCCCTCGTGGGGAGATTCGTAAAAATAAGATTTATTTTTCATATCAACGTAGGTCCGATTCTGCTTTGTCTCCTAGCTATAGGGTGTTAAAATCTTAATATTTTTTCGATTTATTAAAATTTTCTTTCAAATACTTTTAGCGTTTCGAATGAAATTTTGAAAATAAAAGCGACATATTTTATAGCTAAAAAAGTGTCGACATGTTCACCAGGGACGTGACGTCCCTGGAATATTTAAAAAAAAACATGTACACCACTGACTTTTTTCTCTTGTTAGCGAAATAGTGCAAGTAGTTTAATGCGGATTAAAAGTTGTCTCTTGATATTTTGTCGAATTCAATTAATTTTATTAATTTGCCTGGATCCAAGTATAATAGCAACCTTTAAAAAATGTTAATGTTATTAACTTGCACGAAAGATTTTAACACCCTGTAGCTACGAAAATAAAAGCAGAATCGGGCCTATGTTGATATGAAAATGAAAAATAAATCATATTTTTACGTGAGGAATCTCCCCACGAGAGATGGCACATGTTTTTTGAAACACCCTGTATGTGTATAGGAAGGAGGTATTAATTTTTTAGAAATAATACATTTTTTTTAATATAATAATATTTAATAGTCTAATAAATGTATTCCTATCTAATGTAATAAAAATATTGTTAGAAATTTAGTTTAACTTATAGAAATATACCAAAATCATTAGACAAAATTAAACTTTTTAACTAAAAAAAAACACAGATACCTTCATTTTTAGTTTTTCAAGTGAAACTTCTTTACGCGCGAAGGGAGTAAAAATTGAAGGCCGTGACACACGAGACGCGTCAGGAAAAGTGGTTACGATCGAAACTCGGAATGTAGATGGGGCTCGAAAAACGCCCCTCGTTTACATCTTCAGCAGGGTGTGACTAAAGCTTGATTTTCATGCATCCGTTATCCGACGATACGATGATACGATATTAATTTTATTGGTTGAATTTAAAGACTACGATTGGTTAGAAAATTACGCAGTTTTTACATTTATTGCATTTTCATGCCTCTGTTCAATTATATACAGTTAATATATATTTTGCTATGCTCTCCCGAACAGAGTGTGGATTGTTTGGCTACCGGTGGACGTTGCGTTCACTACTGCGCATCATATCTGTATTCAACGTTTGTTCACTACTGCGCATCACAAATTCGCCCAGTATTTCAGGAACCGAAGAGGCTAGGACAAACATATATGACAAACATATTATGTTTAGCATTTTTACTTTCATAAAAAAAGTAGCAAAGTAATGTGAAAATCGCATCATTGTATCTCTACTCATAAACGAGAAATCCCATAAACCACAGGAAAATGGAATACCCTGTACAGATGTGATGCGCAGCAGTGAACCGCAGTAGTCTACCAGCAGCCAGACGTTCCGTACTTTGATCAGGAGAGCATAGCTAAAGATACATTAAAAAAGCAGCTTTCTTAAAACTCTCGTTTTCCCGACGTTACTAGCTCTTGTGCTATTGGAAAATAACTTTGTTATAATAATTCTTTTATTTATTCACTATTCTAATAAAGAATATGCTTTCCTTCAGAAACTCTCTATTTATCTAGTAATGCTAAAACACTCTATTTGAAAGTCGATTAGAGAAAATAGTATGATTCATTGGCAAGCGATGTAAATATTTGTGATCAGGTAAAATTGTGATGTAAGAGGAGGCTTAGCTTGCCGGCGCGCGGCAGGTCAGTCAGTAGTTGATTGGCCGGCCGGCTGTGTAGTGTTGTGTTTCGTCACAGAGCTGACAAATGGGGGTTGCGAGTCTTTTGACTAACATAGTTGCAAGTCGTTTGACTGTAAGCCAACGGGGTCGTTTGACCACAGGAAGAAAACCTCTTGTGACGTCCTGCCTTCGAGTTGGTCTTGAGAGTTTGAGGTCTCCATAATGTCTTCTCGATTGACGATGCGGCATTGGGATAGTGAGCTACCCAATTAGTTTATTCGATTGGGATGCGAATCTGTTTAGCGGCAGAATTGCGTCCGGGGGAAGCCCCTATACTATTTCAGGTGACACTAGCTAGTTGTTGAAGATTATTAACCAATAGATCCGAATAATATTTGAATTAGATGGAAGATATTGAATGTGATATATTGAATAGAATGTCAGTGATGTCAGTGGTTAGGGGGCGGAGTACCCCCGGGTGAGTCTTACTATTTAACTATCAATTTTATCCAGATCAGTAAATGTTTGTTTTGTTATTTTCATGTACAATGAGAGAGTGCTTGCCAATGACCAACTAAATGGATATTTGAGGTGAATTTGCATTGTGAGACCCGGTTGAGTAAGCCCCAAAAATAGCGATTTTACATATTTTTATTAAGGTTAGATTAAATGTATCAAAAAAGTGTCAAAACATCTGTTATCGTACGATATTTCTCCGTTGACTGGCTGGAGTAAAACATTTACGGATGAAAAGTGGCGCGAAAACGCTACCGACCATTCAGAGCGCCGTCGGATCATCGTATCAACGGATAACGGCCGCATGAAAATCAAGATAGGATTTTATATTGTCAAGCTGTATGTGGCGCTAAACTGTATTGCTGGTTGCCTACATTGCCGCAACGTGTCAAGAAACATGGCGAATTCCCCAAGGCATTTTTAGGCGCCATCTCTTAATCAAGTCGACAAGTAAGCGAATCAGACAATAGAATTTACTGGTAGATGGCGGAAAAGCATCGAAAATTACAGAAGGTTCGAGAAACAATCAGTAGGGTATATAAAGGCCCGCGCTTGGCAGTTGGACCAGTTTGAAGTTTGATAATAGGTCTATTCTCAGAAGAATCCCTGACTAGATCAAATATGCGCACATTGTGCACATACAATTTTTTTAATTTTTTTTAGGTAATTTAAAAGTTTAAAGCTATCTTTTGGTTTGAGTGATATTTAATCTTATAGAAGTTGAGACTATTGTCTACTTATAATAAATAGTGCACCAAAATTAAAATAACAGAAATGGTTCGTATGGGTTACAGCCCTAATGGAAACAGTACCCTTTCAGAACTGTTGCAGATTTTTACGTCATCGCTATTCGCTTTGGCCATTAAAATCTGTATAAGAACAGCCAGTTTCAAGAAAAACGGTTTTTAAAAATAAGAAAAATATAATTTGTTTATCTACCCTTAGAATCAGACGCTTAAGTTTGGTACACCATTTATTTTTACACCCTGCAAGTATATCTAAAAAACATAGAAAAAATGTTAACTATTATTTCTATTTTTCTTAAAATATATTGGTTCTTTTTCAAATACTGTAAATTGAACTATATTCTAAAATTATTGACGTAATTGTTATAATCTTTCGTGATATAAAATCGGAGTCTATATTATCAGTCACAGGCACCCATTTCCCCAACACCCGCACCACGGTACTTTCCCATTCACTGGTACGTTCGAAATGCTCGACATTTTCCTGTGGTGGTCGTGTTGCTGGGATTCACAGGAAGACCCGCTGTTGGTGCGTTCCCTGTCACTGTATTCGTCATAAAGGAAACTCCCGTAGCCCAGACCAAGTCCCGCAGGTCCCACGAGGGATCTGTCGGTGCAGATTGAGTACGATCGTTCCCGAAACCTGGGATCTATAGAGGCACGATGCGTTCTGGATGCTCCAGATCGTTCTCTTCGGTGTTTTTTGTGCTTTTTCATGCCGGAACCTGCAAAAGAAAGTAAATTTCATTCGGAACAACATCGAAATTAGTGGTTTCAGTTAGCGTGGAAGTTTGTTACCTGTCATTCAGTGATACCTGTCATTACTGACAAAAAAATAGACATGTTGAGTAGATAGTTTTTCTAACATTTTATTTTTTCTAACTTTGTTGGGCTGTATTCCGTTGCAAAACCAGGCGAACCAGATCGGTAAACTATGGTAAAGAGCGGTTCCTGAACAACATCGGTTTGATACGGAACGGTTTGGTAAAATACTGGAAACGTCAAATGTTGGAGTTTCCTAAATTTGAATACCCCTATTATAAAATTTATCTTTTATGCATTTTTAATGTACCTATTCTCTGCTTTCCAGCGAGAATTGATTCCAGATATTATTCCATTATTAAAAATATCTATGCTAGTGCAACCTTCCAAGTTAAATTAGATGATGACCTCAAAACAGAAAAATTCTACCTGGGCTTACGTATGGCTTAGAGACTATGGCAATTACCCGAAAAACAGCAGAACAACTACGAGTAGCACAAAGAGCCATGGAAAGAATCATGTTGGGAGTCACCATTAGGGAAAAAATACGGAATACCCACATACGTCAAAAAACAAAATTAATAGATGTGGTTAAAAGAGTGGCAAGTCTGAAGTGGCAATGGATAGGACATGTGGCAAGACAGGATCCAGACCGATGGCCCCAAAAAGCAATCCTATGGAGACCTAGGGGAACAACAAGAAGTGTGGGCCGACCAAAAGAGAGATGGGTCGATGACGTCAGGGCAGTGGCGGGAAGACAATGGATAAGATTGGCTAGAGATCGCGAAGCATGGAAAAACCTAGAAGAGGCCTATATCCAACACTGGATGGCACTGGATGGAACCAGGCTGAAAAAGAAGAAGAAGAAGATTCTCTGCTTTTACGTTTGCTTCTTCTTTTCAATGGTGTTTAATATTGAAAAATACTTTATTAATAAACTGTCAAATTCCTAAGACAGCTCAAGTGAAGATTTGCAAGTCCAATATTAAAACAGATCAATAAAATATAGCCAAATCTAATTAATATTTATATTTTTATAGTTTACAAAACATTCACGATTACTTGTTGTCTTGTTTTTCATGTTTTCTTTAAATGTTTCTGATTTTAAGAAACAATGGCTGCATGATAAGTTTAAATGGTCCTAAAAAGTAATTCTTAATGAAATTTATTTACTTTTACTGCCTACCTCCATTGCTTTTGGATGTAAATACAAAATATTATAACGAATTTTAGAAATTAAATGAGAATTTCACTCGAACTTTCAATATTTGCTTGATTTCTGTCACATAAATGACATTGATTGACAAACAAAACCAGAAAAACCTGCCTTCTCGCGCTGGTTAGTTTGGTGACAGTCATGTGACAGTTATATCCGAATTTTTCAGGAACCGTGTTCCGTAATAAGAAAACTTTCAGGAAACCGACAGAAACGGAACATAAAACCATAACCAAGGTAAGCAACGGAATACACCCTTGAAGTAGTTTCTATTGAGTCTTTTATTTAAGTTCATTACCTTCGTGCATTAAATGGACATGTTTTATCCTGTCCGGACTAACAGACACACTTTTCCTCCCTTTTTTGTCTTCTTTCTTGCTCACTGCATCTTTTTCTCGTTTTTCTGCATTTTTCCTATCACTATCTGTCGTGGAATTGGGTGTTTTTGGGTCGAAATTTGATGTTTCCGTCGTGGATTTACGAGATTCTATACTAGGTGTTTTTTGGTGGAAGAGTTTCGATGGTTTTTCGTTGTGTTTGCTTGGTTTGGGGGTTGTTGGATCCTTGGATTCTAATTTTTCCTTGGATGTGTCGTTGTTCACTCTACAACAACTTCAATAATCACTATAGTCAACGTAAGAAGTGATAAAATTACTCTAAGTCGAGTTATAGGTGTATATATGACCTAGGAAATGCAATCCCGCACCAAAATCTCAATCCCGCAAACCAGCGGGATTAAAGCAATCAATCCCGCGGATCCGCAAAATTGCGGGACTGTAAACAATCGTCATACATTTGGTCCTAAATGGTACAAAAGGCATTGTACATTTTGCATAGGCCCACAATATATTGATATAGCGTGTATCTTAAACTAGCTGTACAGAAATTGCATCAATTGGACCGATTTATACAGGGTGTTCAAAAAATATATTTAATATTAAATAAACTTAAATTTTATTATAATTTATCTACTTATTTTATAAATAAAAATATTATTCTGATGTTGAAGTTTTTTTAACTTGTGTTAGTTATCTGCTTTTAGATATAATTCAAGATCAATAATTTTTTGGCATATGCAGAATGTACAAAGCTTTTTGTACCACTTAGGACCATACGTATGACTAAAAATTTATATATTTCAATACAGACTAGTCGTACTTTAAAAATTTCGATTTTTTAAAACTCGTAAATTTGCGGTAAAAAAGATTCTGAACCAAATTTTCACTCTCTTATAAAACACCCGGTATACGAAAATTCGTTAAATATATTTTCGAAAACCACATAGCATCTTCGAAAACCACAATAGATGCATCTAAAACCTGGTCCAAACCGCATCCCAAAATCGGAATTTATAGATATAGACGAGTGGCGGCATTTTGGCTTTTTTATATCGCAATTTGTAAACAGCGCTTATTTGTAAACAACCCCCGTTTTTAGAGAGGTATTTTAGATAACAATCGATATTTAGAAATGTTATGACACCCTGGAAATACTACCACCGAGCACGTCATTGTTGCAACTGTGTTAATACGCCTGGCGGTGACCGCCTCATATTCTTTCAGATATTTAGCAATAAAATAAAGAAACCTGTTATTTTTAAGCTGTTATTTTAAGCTGTTTTTTATAAATAACAATAACAGTTTCAACTGTTATCTAAAAATAACAGTTTTGCCCATCACTATCTCAGAGGGATCCCGCATTTGCGGGATCCAGCCTTTGCGGGATTGTATTCCCTAATATGATCTATGCATGAAAAATCTGGATACTTATAGGTTGATTCTTACTATTTCCATATCAGCTCCCTTCCGTTTACATAAAACATTATATCATGTAAATGAATAGGACAATGCACACTATCCGTTCAATTTCCCTTCCGTTCCATATTCTTTCATTCCATACATTTTTTTGGCGGGCGGACTGAAGCGTATCGGAAACAGCGTTGTCAAGTTCTTACATTTGTACCAGCTTTGTTAAAATTTTGCTGATATTTCTTTATCTTTCACATCTTAATTAAATCTATTACCTTTTTCAAAAGATACAAATTTTTAAAATAAAACTTTCGTAATGATATAAATTGTACAGGGTGGTCGAAATTAGTCTGTTTTAACAGAGAAAACCTATTTCCTGACTAGATAGAGCAAAACCGACATAGATGTCATGGGCTCGATTTCTGAGACACGTTTAATAGCATAAACCGCCTGTTGATATTTTCACTGCCAACTGAGATACGGGGTCTTTTTGAATTTTTTACCATTTTGAAAATTGCCCATAACTTTTTTATTTCGCGGAATAATAAAATTCTGTAAAAACGTCCTTGAGGCACTTTTTAAGCACAATCCAGTGGAGTAGTCAGTTTTTTTCTATGCTTGCTCATTTTGTCAGAAATATTAAAAAATATTATTTTTTAAATGGAAATCGTAGTTGGCTACGAACTTAAAAAAAATGCTGGCGTTTAACCCTTTCCAATGATATAAAGTTATGGGTATCTATTTCTAAGAATGAGATAAATATTAGGGTTTTTATCTTTATATCGAAGCGGGCTTTGATTTTGAGTTGACCTATTTGCTTAATTATTTTTTATCACAATTTAATATTCTATATTATTATTTATCTGCATAATTAAAGACTTTCGAAAAGGTAAATTAACATTCTATTAATATTAGTAATAGTAATTATTAGCATTAGTAATTACAACTGAAATCGATACAATAAACAAAGAACAAAACTAAAAAAACGTATTTTTTGAGTGACGAATATAGTTTTCTAAAAAAATCAAAGATGTTCAAATTGAGCACATCCTTGTTGAATACTTGTTCGATTTAAAAAATTATGTTTTTTATTATTTCTGACAAAAAGAGCATGTATAGAAAAAAAACTGACCACGCCACTGGATTGTGCTTAAAAAGTGCCTTAAGAACGTTTTTACAGAATTTTATTATTCCGCCAAATACAAAAGTTATGGGCAATTTTCCAAATGGTAAAAAATTCAAAAAGACCCCGTATCTGAGTTGGCAGTGAAAATATCAACAGGCAATTTACGCCATTAAACGTGTCTCAGAAATCGAGCCCATGACATCTAGGTCTTTTTTGCTCTATCTAGTCAGGAAATAGGTTTTCTCTGTTAAAACAGACCAACTTTGACCGCCCTGTATAATAAAAGTATGGAACTGATACGGAACGGAAGCTTACGTATAGCGTCAGTACAATACAAAATACGGAACGGATATGGAATGAATATGGAATGGAAACGGAAGGTATAGTGAGAATCAACCTTTACTGGGATATTAGATATTATCTAAATATGTGAGAGAAATTACACTATAAATGGAACTGGTTGAATAAGATGAAAATGATGATGACGATATAGATATTACTTGTTTTGCTTGTTCTATACCTGAAATCAAATAACGACAATTTTTTCCCGTCCTGTATCGTTTTGGAACTGCTACTTTTAGTCTCCGGACTGCTATTCTCCATTGCCAATTTCTTCAATTTTTCCTTTTCTTTTTTCCCTTTGAAGTGAATGGATACCTTCCTAGTAATGCTGAGCTTGGGAGACTTGCCGTTATCCTTTTTCTTCTCGCTGCTGCTGCTGACAACGTTGTCTCTCTTTTCTTTATCCCTAGTTTCGGGTTTGGACGTTTTTAATTTAATGTTCTCCTCATTTTCAACCACGTGATCAGAGTGTTGAACTACTGAAGATTTGTCTTGTCGGGCTGTTTTAAAAAAAGGCACATATAAATATACAGCAGACATTATAAATATACAATCAGAGCAGGGTTGAGTAGGTAGAAAATTTTATATTTTTTATACGTAGAAAATTAATTTTCTACACCAAAATATAAAGCAGATTTTTTTGATGCAATTATTTGGGCTTATTTAAGACTCTGTATATTACCTTCATTTAATGGAGTTAGAACGACCGGAACGGCAGTTTCCGGTGTTGTCTTGTGTATAAAATTATCCGGGTTGTACCGTCTGTTAAAATAATCCGAATTGACATAGTTATCGTTGAGATTGCCGAAGAAAAAAGGGTTGTGCTCCTGGTTCTCCATTTTGCTTGTACTATAGTTTGGGCTGCTTGTCACGGGGTACGGCGTGGGCGGTACCGGTAAATTAACGTGGAGAACTGGATGGGGACTGTCAGATTCAACAGGTTCAGGCGGTGGGGGGATTAGACACAAGTTTTGTTGGGATGCGGACATGTTTTCAAGTTGTTTAGAGTCTAAGCTATCCAGGCTTCTGAAATGAAGAGTTATTGTGTAGTGTATACAAGGTGTCCCAGAAATAAGTGCAAGTATTGTAACTGGTAGTATAGTTCAACCCCAGAAACACGCCTATGAGATGAGGTTTTTATCGCAAAAATTTTTTTGGGAAAAATCCTTAGGTTTTTTTTAGTTTTTAGTTAAAAAACATAATTTCTTGATAATATGGCAACATACATATATCCCTATAACTTTTTTAACATACACCCCTATAACTTTTTTATTTTTTTAGATAAAAAAACGAGATTTGGTATGGTAGTATATGACATAAATTAGGATTGATTGACGCATTCAATTGTTTTCGGTCACTTCTTGTTTCACCGGAAATGGCTACGACTTTAGATTTTTAAATGGCGCCCTCGGTATATTTCTACTTATTCGATAGAAAATGACACTCCGAATAGAATGACATCGCATACGTCAATTTTTGACATTTTCGCTTAAAAAATCTTATTTTAAATTTAATCTAGAGTGCCCTGGCTGTGTTAAAAAACTAATTTTTAATCAAGGAGCCTTGGAAAAATAGATTTGATCGTCTAATGTTTTTAGTGTCATGTCCTGGCCTGCTAAAAGATGCCCAAATCGTATTTTTAATCATAATAACTCCATTTTTTCAAATGGAACGAGGGTGGCTCATTAACATATTTTTTTGGATAAAACATTTTTTACGAAAAATTTTTTTAATACCACACACTTTGTATTTCGAGTCAAATTTTCGTTACGAATCACAAGTTATAATTTCAAATAAACCATATGCGAAAATGTCAAAAGTTGACATATGATATGTTATTCTATTCAGAGTGTCAGTTTCTATGGAATTAAGTAAAAAATATCGAGAGTGTCATTTAAAAATCAAAAGTTGTAGTCATTTCCGGCGAAACAGGAAGTGACCAAAAACAATTGAATGCGTCAATCAATCCTAATTTATGTCATATATTAACATACCAAATCTCGTTTTTTTATCTGAAAAAATAAGAAAGTTTAAGGGTGAGCCACTTTTGAGACGCAGCCGGTATAGACCTAAGTTAGATAATAATGTTCTTACCTATGAATATTTTTGTATTTGTCAAATCCAATCAAGGGCATTGCCTTGGGCATCAACACTACATTCAACTCGCTCTTATGTAGTCTCTCCTGACTGGCGGTCATCTGTTGAATCTCGCTGTTGATGCTCTCATTCATCAACCGATTCAGAATAGAATCTGAGGGGTACGGCAGGTCGTGTCCTTGGCCTTGAGTACCATAGAACGGGTTCTCTAGGATGGGTTCTTGGATCGTTGGCATGGTACACTGTTGGATGCCTCTCTGCAAATGCGTTAGCTTCAGTATATCCTATAATGTAGGTGAAAATGGGATTCTGAATTGTATGGTTGTTATGAGGGTTGTTTGGGACACCGTGTACATGCTCCAACTCACCTGTGATATCGACTCGATGTCATGTAATAACTCCTCTAGATTTCCTCCATTAGAAAACGTTGTACTGGGTGTTGTATTGCTATATGTGAGGTTTTTACTAAAATTCTGATTATCTATTTTCACTATCAAGTCTGTAGCTTTCTTTTCCAATCCTTTAATTTCAACGGGCGATTTCCGATGATTTTTCGGTACCAAAACCATATTTTGATAGAAATTACTTGCGTTGGTTTGTACGATTTTTTTGCTAAAAAAAAGTTTATTGAAAAATTCTGGAATTAGTGAGTGTAAACAATTTTTTTTACCTTAAAAAACTGTCTTTCTCTGGCCCTGTATACACCACCTGTTGGTTCTCGTAATGGGGTGGTGGGCTTGGACTTATAGCTATAGGTGGTGTTTGTGAAGGTATATTAGTCTGACATGACAGGGTTGGATTGTAATATTCTTCGGGGTATATCGGTTCATGATGGGCCTGAAAAAATATGTTACGTATGGGCAGAAAAATATTGTTACTTTATTGTACTTTATTATTTTTTTTTATTGTATTTTATTTTTGTTATTACGGTTTACCTTTACCTGATTGAAGTGGTTGTCATCGAAGCTCTTCGAGTGCTGAATAGGTGAGAAATAGTTCAAGTTGGCTTGGTTGGGTAACGTTTGAGATCGATTCTGGGTAACCAAGCCGTAAACTGGGTAACTTTGATCAGGTTTAATGGCTTCCTTGTCGTTGTAGTTCCACATCAAGTTGTCGGTGTGATCGTTATTCACCGACTGCCTAGAGAATTGCATTTTAGACACCCTGACTAAGTTTTGAATCATTAAAAAACTATGCTCAATATAGGAAATAAATATAATAAAGTATTTTATCTCACTATATTGGGTACGTCTCAAAAGTGGCTCTCACTTTATTCGATAGAAAACGACACTCTGAATAGAATGACATATCATATGTCAACAGTTGATATTTTCGCATATGGTTTATTTGAAATTGTAACATGCGGTTCATAACGATAATTTGACGAAATATCAAGTGTTTGGTACCAAATTATTCGTAAAAAAATACTTTTTCCGAATATGCTAATGAGCCAGCCTCGTTCCATTTGAAAAAATTGAGATATGATTCAAAATACGATTTGAGCATCTTTTAACCGACCAGGACAAGACACTAAAAACATTAGACGATCAAATCTATTTTTCCAAGGCTCCTTGATTAAAGACTAGTGTTTTTAACACTCTAGATTGAAAGTTAAAAAACATTGTTTTAAACGAGACTGTCAAAAGTTGACATATGATATGTCATTCTATTCAGAGTGTCATTTTCTGCCGAATAAAGTAAAAAATACCGATTGTAGTCATTTACGGTGAAACAGGAAGTGACCGAAAACAACTGAATACGCCAATCAATCCTAATTTATGTCATACACTAACACGCCAAATCTCGTTTTTTTATCTGAAAAAAATACAAAAATTATAGGGGTGAGCCAGTTTTGAGACAAACCCGGTATATTATAGTGGAAAAAATATTACTTTAAACGCTTCATATGAGCGTGGATACTTTATTATATTGAATACCTAGTGTTTACAGAATTCCTGTCAGAATTTTCACAAGAAGTTTCCTCTGTAACTATAGATAGATGATCGAATTGGTTCCTAAGATTCTTAAGATTAGTTTTTTGTACGTTTTGAATGTTCTGCGATGTTTCCACCTCTTCGGATTCCTCGGTACAACTTGAGCAACTCTCCTGAAAATTAATTGTTCTAGATATACAGGGAATTTCATGTCGAAAGTCGTTCTACTATTTACAGAATCACTGGTACTACTATACGTGGTTGAGGACGATGAAAAATCCATTTTTTTGTCTTTTAAAAGTTTGTCCAGCTTGTCGTACTCGTCTCTCAAGCACCATATTTCTTTTTTGAGCATCTCATTTTCCCTTTTTAGTTTCTTAATATCTGATTGACCTAAAATTATTAGTAGAAAATACAGGGCCCAAAATTTTTTTTTATCTGTAGAAAATACAGTAGATTATGTTAAATTTTTGTATCTACCCAACCCTGATGGTTCCGATCGTACAAACCTTGACCGAAAAACTCAGTTGGATCGCATCCAAATCCGAGATCACTATTAGCGAAAATATAAAAAATCTATAAATCTGATAGGTAGTCAAAACACTGGTGTGATAATTTGTCACTTAATTTGTTAACTGTGACAAAAGCGACACGATCGGAACTTGGACGTATCGTTTGATTTTTCAAGAGAAAAATTAATTTTTTAGATGATTTATAGAGAAAAGGACATATAGGAAATTCTATGTTGTTCAAATTAAACTTTTAATTAATATTTTTAATAACATTCTAGGGTCTTACCTCTTTCGATTTCAGCATTGATATTAATAGTTTTGAGCCTCAGTTCTTCATTTTCGTACAACATACCTCTGGAAGACTTTCTGTCCAACCTAAAAAAAATATCATACCAACGCAATGTCAGGGACTTTAAATTTTATTATACTTTACCAAAAAAATTTTTTTTTGGTTAGTATTGTTAATGTTAATTCAATTTTGCTTCACTGAAAAAAATTCAAAAAAAACTACCAAGCAGAAATTCCAGTCTTGTCGGTCATATCTCTTAGCATGCGTGTTATTTTTTGCAAAAAAATCGTTATTTCATTTTTGTTGGACAGCTCTAATCAATGTTCAAGTAGTTTTTGGTTCAAGGGTCCAAAAAATTAATTGTATCACAAAACCAACGTATCTGAGCCTTCAGTGGTGTGTATATTCTGAATCTACATAAAATTTACTACAAATACTGATATTTTCATAATTTTTTGACTATGCTTACTATTTTTCTAATGCCTTTGAAAATAAAATGTTCAAAAATTGGGCATTTAATAAATAGCTCAAAAACAAGTGTTCAAAAAATGAATTTTCTCACAAAACCAAGATACCTAAGTTTTCAAAGGTGTACATATTCGGAATCTACATAACATTTTCTACAAATACTGACATTTTCATAATTTTATGACTATGCTTACTATTTTTCTAAGGTCTTTGAAAATGTGTAAAAAAATATTCAAAAATTGGACATTTAATAAACAGCTCAAAAACAAGGATTCAAAAAATTTATTTTCTCACAAAAACAACCAATCTACACCTTCAAAGGTGTATATATTCTGAATCTACATATAATTTCCTACAAATGCTGACATTTTCATAATTTTATAACTATGTTTAGTATTTTTTCTCAGACCTTTGAAAATGTGTAAAAAATAGCCAAAAATGTGCATTTTTTCAACTTTTTCCCATACATAGGAGAACTCTAATAAAGAAAAACTCTGGTGAAACTAAACTTTGCCATAGAAGCGCATGCTGCTTATACAGTATGATCGATTAGAAAAACGGCGTCAGCGATAGCTACGAAATGAAGATCGCTGTCATTTTGTATGTAAAATTATATGGGACTGTTATCGATCGTCATTTCCAAGCCAACTGGACGCCGTTTTTTTTCGATCATACGATATTTTGACAGTGATCGTGATGTTACTAGATTAGTGCAAAGTTGCGGAGCTCAGTAGCGTAGACAGAGAACAAAAAATAAATCATTAAAAATTTTATTTTTTTATTCGAAAAAAAAAGTATTTATAGTTTTCATCAAAGTTTCTGACTACTCAACTGATAACTGAGCAATAAGCGCCATATTTTTTTGCCAAGCCAACTCTGTTTTTACCTAGACTTAAAACTGGAATCCCTGCAAAATTAAGAAAGTTAGATATATACGGGGTATTACGGATTTCGGTAAATTATAGCAAGCAGAGTAATTAACTTGTGCAAAAAATGCTTTGGGAAGGTGTATATGGTTTTGTGTTATCAAGTTCTGATGCATTTGGGGATAGTAGGAAGTTAAACAGGTGATGTTACCGTATGATCGGAAAAAAAGGCGTCAAATGGGTCGGGGGATGACAGTCGATGATAATTTTAGCGAGGTCGAGCCCTAAACGGCATTTAATCTTTCTATAATTATTAGTGTTAATTTTTAAGAAGTTTTATGTAAATTTTCGATTGACTTCTCCAAAATTATCATCGATTTTCATTCCCTAGCCCATGCGACGCCGTTTTTTTTTCGATCGTGTGATATAATGGTTTCTGTTTACAAATTAAGTGGGGTTTTTCGGATTTTGAAACTTGACCCATCGTAACTTAGTGTACATTTTTTATGGTACGCCCTGTATAAAACTTAAATACAGGCATTTAGAAGAAATGTGCGATTGCAATCAAAATCTTTCTCAAGATATTTTCGTATCAAAATGTATGCAAATCGCCGTATAATAAACCTTTTTGCGTTTCGCTGCATACCATAACGGTAAATTCAAATATTTCGCAGACGAAAACCACCTGATAACTGTTCATAATTATTAACGATTCACCACGAATATTATTACTATATATTTATCACTGAATGCCATTTTATAAGTAACATATACCATGCACAAAAGTTGTACAGAAATTATTAAGGAATATGCCATTAAAGTAGGTATACGATATTTTTTTTAATTATCAGTAAGTATGTTTAAGGTATACTGATCCAGCATTTTTTTTTATATAATATTGAACATAATTAAATATTGTAAAGTGGGGTCTACACGTAACGTTTTACCTGCAAGTTTTACTGGTCAGGTAAAACGGAAGATCTATAAGAAGAATTATAAGCGTATATAATTAATACAATTTTATTATTGTTAATATGACTTTAAAGGAAGGTATTATCTAATGAAGATTAGTAATGATTTCGTGACGTTTTTTTTAGATTTACCTTCTATTAGGCTTGACGTTATTATCTCTTCTTCTTGTTCTTAGCATATTTTTTCAAATATTCGACGCAAATCAACATAGGCTAGTGTATTTATGATTGGATTGATGTTCTCCAAATCAAATCTATAAAATAATACATTGATTAGGTCTCAGAATGAATTTAGCAAAAACTAAAGTAATGTACAAAGACAGAAAAGACACTTAATAAGAACATTTAGAACGGTAGAAGAACATTTTTTAATACCCACAAAACCATAATATTCTTTGATATTACTCTTTAGGGGAGATTTAAGAGAAGCTGAAATTTTATGTAAGGCCGACAGGAAGAACTGTAGAGTAATAAAAATATATTTCCTAGTATTAATGCCTATTTATACTGCGTGTTTATTAGTTGTGATAATTCAGGGTAAAAATAATATATATGGCATATGTTATCTGTCATAATTCCTAATAAAAATGCGATTAAACGACTATGTTTTGGTTTCTCGAATACCAATGAAAATGGTTTACTATATTCATAGTTATTATCCATTTATTATTTTCTTATCTTTATTTATCGCGTTGAACTACATGTATATTAGTATATTAGCTTTATTTGCAATTTTTTTTGATAACTTTACAACAATTTTTTTATTTCCCACAAGCCATAATCGATAAATATACAGGGTGGTCCGAAGTGTATTCCGCAAACTTCGGTACCATATTCTGCTGATAAAAATAAGTAAAAAAGTTCGTATAAAAGTACCTATGTCCTAAAATGCTTAGTTTCGGAGATACAGGGTGTAGAAGTTTCATTTTTATTTCGATTTTTTCCAAATAATTTATGAAGTAACGTCAATATTTGGATGGAAATTGGTGTCTGGGCGTTTTTTGAAATGAAAAATTTGATTTTAATGTCAATATGACTCCTAATTATAGAGGGCACCACCTACATATTATTTAACTGCTTTCTTTGAATAAGAAGACTAAAGAAGGAGCATATCAAAAATCTTAGGTACACCGCGATGGGCCTCAAATATGGCCGACTTAAATTCCGGTTTATCAGTGTCGTTCTAATTTTATTTAAAAAATGTAAAACTATGATGTAGGGTAGACGTGGGGTAGACTCAATAATTTGTTGTTTTATTTTACGTTGTGAATAAATGTTGGTAGTTATTAAAATTGTTATAAAAATATATAATTCTAATAAAAATATATAAGTTATAATAAGTATTTATTAACACAAACATCCGATACGCTACTGAAGCAGGTAAGTCAAATTAACGTATCTAAATTCTTTGACATCTAATCTTTGACAAGTAATAAATAAAAGCTAAAATGCAAGAAAAAATATATAATTTAGTTAATTTAAGTGAATTTCGTAAATGATCGGTTTACTACACGTATGTATATTATATAGTCACTTACTAGCGAAAAGTTGTTCCATTATTTCACTCAATTTTTGCCGAGATCTACCGCCCGCTACACAACCAACTATTTTAGAGTCTTTTTCGATAAATCGCGATAGTGTCACTGTTAATTTAAGTTCTGCCACAATTTCCATCTAGATTTACTACGTTTATACAACTGTCAGTAGTAGAATAAATAATAAATAACATAAAATAAGCTCCGTAAAGACTGACAAATCCACAAAATTTCAAATCAAATTCAAATGTGTCAAATGAATCGTCAAACAGAACTGTCAAGGATCCCCACCCTAGAGAGCTTTTATGGTGGCTTTTCCGCCCACCATGCTTAAATACATGGATAGCATTATGCTCCTTCCTAAGACTGCTTTTAAAGTGTAATAACTTTTCATCCACACTTGTATAAAACTGCTGAGTAAAAAAATATACATTTACGACATTTTTTACATAAAAAAGGTCTCTTGGTAAAAATCGTTACGAGTAATGGTTTTCGGGATATTTGAAATCGAAATTATCAATACCTAATAATTTCAGTCCAATAGTTATTGGACTGAAATCATAATTTGAAATGTTTTTGTACCAAAAGTCCAACAAAAACTGTTTTATCGTCATTTCTTCGCAGAAAAACTTATGATTAATTTAAAAAAATAAAAATTTCCTAAATTTATTATTTCAGTCAAATAACTAAGTAACGTAATGTAATATAAAATGTATATTTTTTCACTCAGTAATTTTATACAGGTACGGACGAAAAGTTATCACTCTTTAAAACAGTTAAAACACATGTAGGTGGCGCCCCTTAAAAATAGGAGTCATATTGGCATCAAAATCAAATGTCTCATGTCAAAAAATTCCCAGACACCAATTTTCATCCAAATATTGACGTTATTTCATAAATTATTTGGAAAAAATCGAAATAAAAATGAAACTTTTTAGGACACTTTATATGAACTTTTTACGTATTTTTTTTTTATGCAGAATATGCAGCTGAAGTTTCCGGAATACAGTTCGGACCGCCCTGTTTAAAAAGGTTTATTACCCATTCTTTTTAATTGTCTTTTAACTAATCAGGATCATATTATACCGGGTGTTTTTCAAAAGTGTCTCACCCCTGTACCTTTTTTATTTTTATTTTTCAAAAAAAAAAATTCATCGGCATTTTGATTGTGAAAGAGAAATAGTGACCGAAACTAATAGAATACGTCAATCAATGTCATATTAACATATCAAATCGCGTTTTTATCTGAAAAAATTACCTACAAATTTATAGGGGTGAGCCATTTTTCAAACACACCCGGTACCTATAAGGTAAAAGTACCAAAAAAATAATTCATTGGCTAATTAAGACTAATGAAGTACAGACCAACTTACCTTTGTCGTTAAATATAAATCCATGTTTGTTTAAAAAAAAACGTCGTCATGGTATCCACTTTCCTTCGTTCATTTTCGATATATTCTTCCCCTAAACACACCGCGCTTTTGGACGGACACTATCCGTTACATTAGGTAAAATAACAAACATTTCGGGCCACTTCTAACAGTTTTAAAACAAAGCACTGTCACTCTATCGTAGCTTTTGTTATTCCTAGATGCACTATAACTTGATTAATTTAGTTTAATTTAAACTTGCATTTTTCTATATCCCTGTAAATAGAACACGTTTTTGTTAATGTTAGGGTGATTTGTTTTTAAGTGTGAAAACTTAAGTTTTAGTTAGTTTGACAGTGGTTTATTTTGGTTGTATAAATTATGGAGTAAAAAACAATGGAATTATTTGACATACAGGGTGTCTCAATGTTCCGTGAACGTAGAACTTTTAGTTACGTAATAGTGGGCGCGATTTTTATTTATTTATTTCCTGACATTGTCATTCGTTTTGACACTTTTGTTTTTTTATTACGAGTTTTTGATTTAAATATAAATAGGGTTGTGATACTTTAAGTTTGAAAGTGTTTACTAGCAGACATTGCGGTCGAACATTGTTCTTTTTAGAACCTCTTTTAGTGCGAAGCATAGACTTAAAAATAAAATATAGACTGCACTATTTACATCTCAACGCGGACAAACAACCTTTTTTGTACACATGTTTACTTCTGGGTACAGCCGACCGAGCCTTCCTCATCCAGCCTATGTTGTCACGTCTTTAATATTATCAATATTTTTTTTCTTGTTATACACATATATTGAGATATTAATACTACAGTTTAATAAAGTAGGTTTTAATATTCCATAGATGTATTAAATAGTCCTTATACTACTAAATTATAAGTCGGATACTGTTTAATAGGATAAGTTCTTTACAATATGACAACACCGATTAGAGGCGAGGGAGCCTATTCATTCATTTATTACCTTGAAGTACGTGTCGCACGTGTGCGGTAAAGCTTTGTTGCCGTTATCTCCCCGGCTGTATTAACGCATTTTCTGAGCTTGTAGTCCTTAAGTGTTTATTTTATTGACTTTTTCTGTTCAAAAACTATAAAATATGGTTCGCCAGTGCCAAATTTGCAAGAAATTTGACTTAAATAATCCATTTAAGTCTTGAAACGACTTTTGACCGGTAGGCAACTCTCAATTTACCCATTGGCAGTCAGTGGCGTTGTTGTAAAAAGGCGCTTATTTAGATAATATTTTAGTAAAATGTAAAATCTGAATTTTTTCTTTTACATTACATTATTTACTTACTTACATTGTAACAAAATCATAATTATAACCCTGTTAATAATTAATAATGTTTTTATTAAAAATATATTCCGGTTTATTCTAAAATTATCTTCAGAATCTAAAATAACATACAAGAATTTTAAAATGATATTACGTTATGAAACAATATTTTTTAATATACCGGGTCGTCTCAAAAGTGGCTCACCCCTATAACTTTTTTATTTTTTCAGATAAAAAAAAACAGATTTGTATGTTAGTAGGTATATGACATAAATTAGGATTTATTGACGTATTCAATTGTTTTTGGTCTCTTCCTGTTTCACCGAAATGATTACATCTTTTGATTTTTAAAGGCACCCTCGGTATATTGCTACTTTATTCGATAAAAAATGACACTCTGAATAGAATGACATATCATATATCAACTTTTGACATTGTCGCTTAAAAATATATCCTATTTTAAATTTCAATCCAGGGTGCCATGGTGTTGTTAAAAACACTAAGTTTTAATCAAGGAGCCTTGGAAAAATAGTTTTGATCGTCTAATAGGTTTCGTGTCTTGTCTAGTCCAGTTAAAAGATGTACAAATCGTATTTTTAATCATACATATGTCAATTTTTTCAAATGGAACAAGGGTGACTCATTAGCATATTTGGAAAAAGCATTTTTTTATGAATATATTGATACCACACACTTGGTATTTCGAGTCAAATTGTCGTTATGAACCGCGTGTTACAATTACAATTAAACCATATGCGAAAATGTCAAAAGTTGACATATTAATTGTCATTCTATTCAGAGTGTCATTTTCTATCGAATAAAGTAGAAATATACCGAGGGTGCCGTTTAAAAATTAAAAGTTATAGTCATTTCCGGTGAAACAGGAAGTGACCAAAAACAATTGAATGCGTCAATCAATCCTAATTTATGTCATATACTAACATGCTAAATCTTGTTTTTTATTTGAAAATATAAAAATTATGGGGATGAGCCACTTTTTGGGACGCACCCGTATAATAAAGACAGTACCGAGTTAAATAAATGTAGTATTCATTTTATCCACTTCCTATCATCTTCCTTGCTTTAATGGAACAGATTTATGTTTTCTCTAATTTACATAAGACATCACTTAACCAGAAAAAACATTACAACAATCATATTTTTTTTTCTCTCCCTGTCGCCGATTCTATTATATCTGTGGAATAGATCCTGTTTTGATTAATATTAGGGGTTGTAAATGTTTGACTAAAATTAATAATTTATTATTAATTTCAAAAATTACATAATTTCGATTATAAAATTTCTTCTATAACGTGTATTTTATTATTTTTATCCTTTTTGGACTCTAAGACGTTTTTTCTAAACTTTTATTTAAAAAACCTGTCCTAAATCTTAATAAAATATAAAAAAGTTTAAATACGATATATTTTTAATTTAATTATAGCTTCATTAAAATAAAAAAATTACCCGGCTATGAGACGGAGAGTTCAGGTGTACTTGAGAAACGAAAGACAGTGTTGTGTTTCTCGGCAGAGTCGTCAGGGAACGACCGTTACGACAGAGACAACCTATCTATCGCTCGTGTCGCACTCGTTATAACCTAAAACAATAACACAACAATAACAAGATATTGTCTGACCGCATGTTCCAGCTATTTATGAATGGGATGCTCAGTCTATATTTTATTTTAAGTCTATGGTGCGAAGTATACAAGATAGTTTAATAGCCGTAAAAAACTCATGGCAACTTTATTAGAATATTTTGAACGGCAAAGCGGTAGTAATGGCCCTTTCTGTCCCTTGAGTGCTGTTAAGTAGGTGAGTCTTGTTTAGAGAATGCAATCCCGCAAATGCGGAGATTCCGCGGGATCAAAGTTGCTGGATTTACCGCGCGGGATCCGCGGAATCGACCCATTACTACTGGGTAACCGAATCGAGACCCCACCGAATCGATCTCGATCAGGGTCAAACCGTTTTGTTCCGGGCCGATTCGTCGACGGTCGGAACCCGGGGGGATTCCCCTTACGGCTTGGCTATTAAAAATAAGTGAAACAAACAGGTTACTTCTTAGATTTCTTTCTGGCGTATGTGCGTAAGTGAAGAAAGGCGTTTAACTAGTACTTGTGGACAATTTCGTCAAATAAACTGCCGGACATATGTAATTATCGGGACAAGCAAAATTTTAGGGTAAATTTAAAGTTGAATAGGTATCTCTTGAAATAAAAAAGATTTTGGGATGAGGTTTGGACCAGGTTTTAGATGGATCTATTGTTGATAAATTTTTTTTGTTTTAAGGAAAATACGACGTTTTTTTGAAAAATATGCATTTTTAGTCATGCGTATGGTCCTAAATGGTACAAAAAGCTTTGTACATTCTGCATATGCCAAAAAATTATTGATATAGAGTGTATCTAAAAGCAGATAACTAACACAAGTTAAAAAAAACTTCAACGTCAGAATAATATTTTTATTTATAAAATAAGTAGATAAATTATAATAAAATTTTAGTTTATTTAATATTAAATATATTTTTTGAACACCCTCTATACATCGGTCCAAATTTCTGTACAGCTATTTTAAGATACACGCTATATCAATATATTGTAGGCCTATGCAAAATGTACAATGCCTTTTGTACCATTTGGGACCAAATGTATGACTATTGTTTACAGTCCCGCAATTTTGCGGATCCGCGGGATTGACTGCTTTAATCCCGCGGGTTTGCGGGATTGAGATTTTGGTGCGGGATTGCATTCCCTAGTCTTGTTGATGTAAATGATAACTGTTTATACAGGGTGTCCCAGAAATAAGTGCAAATATTTTAACTGGTAGTATAGTTCAACCCCAGAAACACGCCTATGAGGTTTTTTTGCGAAAAAAAAATGTTGAAAATTTAAAATTTTTCTTGACATTTTCCGGGAAATTTGAAAAAACTTTTTAGTGCCACTTGTTGTGCCACCTGAGATTTCCCTACGGTGTATCTAAACCTTGCAGTGTTGCAACCCCTTATGTTATCCACATTCTACATAGTTCGGCGGAACATAGTTCTACATTTATAAATTCATAGACAAATTTCTACTCAAAAAATTAGGAATGTTAAATTTAATCTTTTATCAGTGCTCATTATTAATAATTATAGAAGAAAAAAAACACATTAATTATTTTTAGTACTTACCCTTTCAATGAAAACTTATACAAAAACCACCGAAAATTAACTAAAACATTACGTTTATGACGTTTACGAAAATCTTTGTTATGCTGCAAAATAACTTTATTTTGGAATAAATTTAATAAAATGATTCATATTATTCACCATCAGGTCACAAAAAGAAATTCCTAAAATGTTTATCGTAATTTAGAATTCAATTCAAGAAATTTAGAAAACAGCCTAACGAATAATCAGTTCATTTTTGTTTTGTTTGTTTTCTTTCATGTTTCTCTGTTTTATTTGAACCACTGTTTTACAAAACGCATTGAAAAGCGTACTTTACTTTGAATACCTTTCTGAATGAATAAATGTTGAGAATTATTGTCTCTTATCGCCACTTTACGAACTACTTTCAATCTAAGAAAATACATGTTTCACTCAACAATTATTGACAACGTATTTTGTTTTTTCGCTATTTTTTCGATGTATTTCGACAATTCCATCGACAGCCTAACCGTCAATCAAGAACTGCCGCGTGTGAACCGGTCCTTTGGGTCGCCGGTAGCCGCGCCGTCGTGGCGGGCTTGCGTCAGACGACGATGTTAAGCAACGTTGCCGTAGTTACAATAATTTCAAATTCAAGACATTCGAAACAATCAAATTCGTATTAAATTTTAAAAATAAAACAGAGAAACATGAAAGGAAATAAACAAAACAAAAATGAATTGATTATTCGTCGGGCTGTTTTCGATGTATTGAATTCTGAATTACGATAAACATTTTAGAAATTTATTTTTTGTGACCTTATCAATAACCAATTCATTTGTGTTTTG